CAGTGCTCTGCTTCTTGTGGCGGAGGAGAGCAGACCCGAACACGCCTATGCAGGAATCCTGCCCCGCTATATCATGGCCGTCCTTGTCCTGGAGACTCCTCCCAGATATCCAGGTGTAATAGTCAAGCATGTCCTGGTGAGTTAATTTTCAGCCTATGTGTTATGGGAGTGTTGTAAAAGACTGCTGCACTCCTAATCAGACTGGCTCATTTTCTTGGCTTACATCTCTGCAACTGCTGTTGAATAAATTTGTTGTTGTTGTAACCTGTTACTCAGCACTGGTGTATGCTCTTAAACAATTGTTGCTTTTCAGAGATGTGGATATAAGGCGGTTCCTGTGTTACTGTGCATGTATCTCAGATCATATATGAACGCCACACTGTTATCTGCAGGTTGCGAGCTTGACTGTTGCAATTAATGTAGTAATATAAGCAGAAATACCCACATGGACAATATTTCTGGCTTTTCTCTCTCCCATAATATCAGCCATGGTGCTTTTTTTTTTTCCTTCATCCCTTTCCTCTCCTGCACAGGTGGTCCTTCACGTGCCCAAGGCAGCATCATTGGAAACATCAACAATATTGAGTTTGGAATTGCTTTCCTGAATGCTACAGTAACAGACAGCTCTGAATCTAGAGTAATACAAGCAAAGATTACAAGCATCCCTCAGAGCCTTGGTAGGCTTTTTACTACTTTTTATCTTTTATTTTTTCTAGAACCAGGTTGAATTCTGTGCAGTGCTAGTTCAGTTTATCGGGGGTCACTGGAGAAACTGATCTAACTTTTCAGACCAAGAGAGGAAAAAGGAATCTTCAGTACTTATTCTTAGAATTTTAATGTTAATATCTGTACATCCTCTGAATTTTTCATAGTTTTAATTGTATGGGTTACTCATATTTTAGATTATATTCTTATTTTGGCTTCATAGTCAGCTCTTGCTGATGGAGGGGGGGGGGGAGCGGTACTTAGCATTGGGAAAAAGCCCTCAGATATTACTCTGGATTTCTTTCAGGTCCAGCACTGAGAAAGCTTGTTTCTATTCTGAGCCCAGTCTATTGGACAACTGCAAAAGAAATTGGAGAAGCAATGAATGGATTTACGCTCACTGACGCGATATTCAAGAGAGAAACCCAAGTGGAATTTGCAACTGGTTGTTACCTGTGATGCACCATGTCTTTCCAGCAAGCGTGACAGATACTGCATCCCTTTAAAAGAATCTCATCACCAGTGCTGAATTTTGATTCTTAATGCTTATCCTGCTATTTTCTGAGTGCCTGTGGCTTTCAGAGTTTTAAATACAGCTTTTACAGTTTTAGTTGAGAACACATAATGCTTATGTTATAGGCATGGTATGCTTTATAAAAATATTAGCGTGAGATAAGTGGTCAAGTGATCCAATTCAGATAGTCCTTGGCTTACAGGAGTCCCTCATTAGGATGCTTTATAAATCTGCATGCTTTTAAAATTCACAGGAGAGGTTCTGCGAATAACTCACATTGCCCGGGGTTTGGATTCAGATGGAGCCTTACTGCTGGATGTTGTTGTGAATGGCCATGTTCTGCAGCTGCAGCCACTAGCTAATGTTAATATGAAGGTAAAGCCACTCTCAGATACCAGCCTTTTCTCTTTCATTGTTGCGCACTTCCTCTCTCATCTGTATTAAAGAGGTAGGCATTAATTCTTGACAACTGTTCTACTGTGCATAACTTATTTAATACCTAGTTCAGTTGACAGGTGCTAACATTGCCCTCAAAAGCTAAAAGATGCCATCAAAAAAATAGGAATGGTCACTCAAGATTTTTAGGTCTTAGAAGGAGGCATGGAACTGTGTTTGGGGCCACACACCACAGCTAGGCATGTTGAGTGAGGATTTTATTAGAGCTGTGTGTCTTTTAATAGAGGTGTGTGTCTAATGACTGCCTGATTTTATGGCTTTTCTGGAGGATTGAAATCAGCTCTTTTATGCCGTAGCATCCTGCAAAACTTCAGAATGTTACTAATTATTTGTTTGCAGCTGCAGTTATGCACAGTCTGTCAGAATGCTTTTGTGGCTGATAAAATTTTAAGAGATTACATCATAGGGCATTTTGTGTATCCTTATCTTGCATGCAGTTTGGTAACAACATGCTCTTCTCTCTGCCATAGCATCAAAACTTTGTCTTGTGCTGATCTATTATATGGAAAACAATACTCTTACACAATTCCTCTGAAAGAGGCAGAATATCCAAAATTGGCTTTAAAAAAAAATATATATATATCCTCAGACTTCTTTGGGAATGATGGGAGAGGATGGTTTGCATTACAGTCTCACTCTTGAATTGTTCTACCTCTCATTTCTAAATGGTATTCTAATAGTAAGGTATTGCTACTAGTAAGAAAGCTTCTGTCACTGACCTGTATTCCTAATACAAAGGGATTGGTTTTCTACCTTGTTTATTTAGTATAAAGCATAAAGAACATTTTGCTTGCTATAATGCATGGTATGAAAATTTTGGATTGAAATCAAGGGCTTGATAACTGATTTTACTGGGGAAGAAAAGTTATTCCTTAAAGTTGTTTTTATATAATTGGTACCTAGTTGGTAGGTAACCAGTTGAAACACATCCCACAGTGCAAAAAATATATATCAAGTTTTCAATATTTTCATACATTGCTGTAAGTAGCATCCCCAAAATTTATACCATTTTCCACTAAATGTGTCTTTTCTCTGGTTGTTTATTTTAAAATCTGATTTAGAATACAAAAATATTTAGAGTTCAAAAGTTTGCTTTGACCAATCTTTTGTTTAGTTTTTGTAGGATATTCTCTACTGTAACTTCCATCATCAGGGTCATCAGCCTGCTTCTTATCAAAGGAAAAATAACAGATGCTGGTAAGATTCAGCAGGCAAATTAAGGGTTAAAAAAAAAAAGAAAGACATGTTGTGTGCAATACAGTTTGTTCAGCTGTTAAGAGAAAAACAATTTTCAGAATGTATCATATACTCCTTCAAAATACGAAGAGCACAGTGTTGTTAGCTGCATTCAGTGGCTGATATTGGCTGTTTCAGGATTACACAGAAGACTACATTCAGATCGGCCCCGGGCAGCTGTACGCCCATTCCACTCGCCTCTTTGCTGTGGATGGAGTTAGTGTTCCCTACACATGGAACCACACTATTACCTACGATCACACTAAAGGAAAAATGCCTTTTTTGGTGGAAACACTTCATGCTTCCTCTATCACAACAGAGTACAACCCCCTGGAAGAAACTTTGGCTTTTAAAATCCACGCTTCCATTTCAAAAGGTATTGTTCAAGTCTGTTACAAAAAAACAGCAATAACATACTGATTTACTAGCATTCCTTGCCTTTATTCTCAAAGGTAGTTATGGCTTTGAAAGAGGACCTGCTCACTCAGTGAACTTTATTGTAGATCCTGGGACTTGTATGTCTCATTAATAAACCTGTAGATTAACATGTAGAAGCTGCTGCATTTTGCACTTTCTGTTTCTCTGCAGTTCCCATGGATGATCTCAGTTTGCCATTGCTGATGTTAACCCCTAGCATGAGCAGTAGCTTCAAATAGGCAGCCTCAAATATTCTCCATTTCCATGTGTGTACCTTTGCTTCCCCAAAATGTCCCTCTCATGTCCCTTTTGAGTAGGGGACAGCGTTGGTAGAATTTTACTTTGCATAGTTGTTCCGGAGGATTTTCTTCTTGCTCCAAAGCAGATGTAACTCGGTAACGAGGCTACGGAGGCAGAAGAACATGAGACATTTTAACCACTTTTGTGTGGAGTTTTGCAAGTAATTCTGAAGATTGTTCTTCTAGAGAAGTATTTAAAACATACAGAAAACATGATGCTGAGCTCAGCTTGAAAACTTTTGTGATACTTTGTGGAAGTTTTTAAAGGCAGATGAGATACTGTGCCTGGTGTGCAGTTATGCAGCGCTGGGTTGGACACTGCTAATGTAATTTACTAAACCTGCTGCTGCCTGAGAGGTAGTGAACTCATGGCTCCTTGGCCTGAGGCACCAAGCCTTGTTGCTGCCCCACCACTAGCTGCTGGCTTCTGCTGGCCTTTTACCTACACAATTTGAAGGAATAGCATATTCATGTGGGTGAGCCTTAGAGAAGTCATTAGTCAGTAGAGTGATCCATGTTCTTGTATAGTACTTAAGCATGTTTTTTCTTTCAGCTCTGTATTTTTCAAATGGAATAACTCAGGTTCGAAACAAGGCAGTGGGACTGCCTATCTCAGTCTTTCAAACACAGTAAAATAAGTTTTCCCCTGTTGCCAGGCTATGAATTGACTCAGCAGTTTGAAAGTCAAATGAGATTTTCTTTTCCATTAAAAAAAAACAGGCCTGATAAAAGGAGGTCTCCAAAGCAAGTTATGTCTATGTCTAAACCTGGCCATGCTTTTAGAAACTGACATTGTATTTATTTTCTCCAACAATTAATATGCTGCATTTTTTAAAATGTCATCTTTATTGTATCATTTTTTCAAGGTTCAAGCGTAGAAGAAAATACGTGTGGATTTCCAGCAGGCTCTATGAGAATTTTCCATTGATAAGATTTTTCCTGTTGATAAGAGTATGTACTTGTGTTCTTCCACAGTGAATTTTAATGTCCAAGAAGAACAAGCTATCCTGAAAGATTTGAGGATCCTTTATTTGTAACAGCTGGGCTGCAATTCCTAATATTAAAGGATTTTCTTCACAATACAGCATTATTTTCATCCACGACTAACATGTGCTTCTTTTACCATACAGGAGACCATAGCAACCAGTGTCCTGCTGGGTTTCAGTTGGACTCATCTGGGCCTTATTGTACAGGTAATGATGTGACAAGTTTAATATGTAATCAGGCAGCAGCATCTTCATCCATTTTATTCGGAGCTCAAGAAGTGGAAGCTGCCACGAATGGACAGGTGTGGGCCCAGAGCTCAGAAGCAGTTCCCAGGCAGCCTTCCATCGGCATTGTGATGCAAATGGGACTGTTGAGCAGCTGTGCTCACTGAGCCTGCAGAGCAATGGAGCACTCTGTGAGGAGAGGGACAAGCGCTGGCAGCCTAGAGAGCAGCCCACTGAAAACCAACTGTTGCTTGGGTAGAAAAAGTGAAAAGAAAGTTATGAGCTTTTTAGCTGTCTCCTCTTGGTGACTGAGTCATGTTTGCTTCAGGGAGCAATATTTGATATGGTTTTGTGGGCCTAATTCATTGCCCCTGAAAAGTTTAAAAATTAATGGAATTAATAAGGAAAATTTTTAAATTTCCATCAGGAAATTTTAAAATCAGGAAAGCTGACAATACAGCTGCTAAACTATTTTTTTACTAGCAATATTTTCGGTAAAAAAGTATGTGTTCAAAACTTATAATACAGAAAATGTAACAATCCTGGCAAGTCTGTCTAAGAAGTCTAAATAGAGTACTGAGTTCCATCTGTTCTGTTGCAAAGAGATGCTATGAAAGAGACTGTGTCAAACCTTCATTACCACAGCAGTGACCCATCCTGCAGTTCTACTGCAAGCAGGATCCTGAGGAGCCTATTGTATGCCATCTGATAAAAGCAAGAAGCAAAATCTTAAATTAGACATGAAGGCTCTACTGTGTGTGAATTCTAGTCCCCTTAATGTATAGCAGTGAGATGTAATAATGGAGCCTTCAAAGGGTTGGTTATTGTGATTACAAGTGGAAAGTCTATCATAGAACTTTCATGCTCTTATTCCCAGGTTCAGGCCTTGCTCACTTTCTCAAAGTGCCCTGGGATGACAGCATGGTTTCCTGATGTGTGTGCTGGCAGCTACCTAGTGTAGCTTTACTGACCACTGGGACTCTGGCCATGCAAACAAAGGATGTTTGTGAGGTGTAATGTGGGCATGCTGCAAAGGGGAATTCCACATGTTGCTCTCACAGTGCAGGAACAGAGTGGGAATGGCAAGGTGCTGAGGACAGCCTGATATAGAGGAGAATGTGATGCTGAGCTGTTTGTGAAGCTACCTAAGTGCTAGCTCTAGCCTGGGGCACACAGACATACAGTTCCTCTGAATGTCACTGGTGTTATGTCTTGTTCTTGAAAACATTTTTTCAAACGTTTCCTTCCTGCAGATGAGGATGAATGTGCTGTGCGAAATCCCTGTTCCCACACCTGCCACAACACCATGGGATCCTACCACTGCTCCTGTCCAAAAGGCCTCACCATTGCTGCAGATGGGAGAATGTGCCAGGGTAAGGGGAGCTGCCATGGGCAGGCAGAATACAAAGAGCCCCACAACATGTCAGGCATGGCGAGATGTTTTCTTCAGGCTGGACCACTTGGTCATTGTATGATTGGTGTTCTAATTTTTTGACTTATGAATAGATTTGCAGTCATGTATTTCACAGTCACTCATGTTCAAGATGTTGCTCCATCTGTGTGTCATTGTGCCCTGGTGAGGTTTACAGCTTTTCTTTACCTGCAGATGTTGATGAGTGTGCACTGGGCAGGCACACCTGCCACACCGACCAGGACTGCGAGAACAGCGCTGGCTCATACCGCTGCATGCTGCGCTGCAGGACCGGCTTCCAGAGGGCGGCGGATGGGCTCAGCTGCCAGGGTACGGCACAGCCTTGGCTTTGGTGTTAGCTGTAGCAAACTGAATCTTTCACGTAGCTAAAAGTAACTTTTTGAGAGACAGATCTCCAGCTGAGGTGTCTGTAAATCTTCAGTATTAGCAACATATTTTAGGAATAAATTTAAAATCTTGCTTTTGTGTTCCATGTGCACCTTCTTCTATGATGATGTGACACAAGAATTCACTTCTGAATGTAGCGAAGTAACTAAGCTGAAAGCAGAGCCTGGAACATTGTCTAAACCAAAACCGTTTATCTAAATGGTGATAAGGAGACTCACAGTGATGACATCAACAGTTTATCTTTCCAACAGATATTAACGAGTGTCAGGAGTCCAACTCCTGTCATCAGCATTGCTTCAATACCATAGGAAGTTTCCACTGTGGTTGTGATCCAGGATACCAGCTAAAGGGCAGAAAATGCATAGGTATGAATTAGTTTTGAAATTTCTTTCCCTCTTCTCCATGGAAATAGTTAAACACCTACTTGTTCCTATATGCAACTTTATCCAAGCCCTTTGTGAATGTAACTCCAACTCAGAATGACATCTTCAGTATTTATTCTTGAATTTGTAAAGCAGCACTGAAATCTAGAAGAAGAGGGAACTGAGCTGACTGATAAATGTGCATGAAATGCTTCCAAATGCATGCATGTAGTATGATCACAACTAGATTATGCTGTTGTTTAGGAATTGAGCATATGGAGTTCGTTTCCATTCCTGCTTTCTTTGCTTTTATTTTTTAAATAAGATATAAATGAATGCAGGCAGAATGTATGCAGGCCTGATCAGCTTTGCAAAAACACCCGTGGTGGCTATAAGTGCATTGAGCTGTGTCCAAATGGAATGACCAAAGCAGAAAACGGAACTTGTATTGGTGAGTAAAAACCTAGTGTACTGTATCGTGATGGTAAGCACAGGGACAGCAATGGATGGTTTCTGAAATAAAAGTCTTTGTAGTCCCTTGCCAATTACTAGAATTTGCACATGTTAAGGCACTGACCTTTTGATTTGTGGGGACACAGGCATTTAAATTTTCTTTATGTTATCTGATGATAGAGAAATAGACAGATCCTTACCACTTCCAATTTTTCTAGATTATATTTATTTGGACAGAGCAGCTACTAGAATTGGAAAACTAAATTAAAAGTTTTGAAAATTAATGGAAAAAGTAAACGCTATAAGTTGAAAAATTTGCACATCTGCTCAAAATCTGCTTTCAGATTGTGAAATGCAGATTATTTCACAGATCTGTAGCATGCTGTTAGGGAGTAATTACTGATCATTTTAAGTGATACCAAGTGAGAAAAAAAGGCTGTTCAGAGGCCAGATCTATCTAGAGAGCCAAACTCGCTGTGGTTTAACTGCATTCATTACACATTAAGGAATTTAAGCTGTAGGAACTTTCAAGAAAATATCTGACTGCTTGCTCTTGCCCTGTTGCTTGCAGACATCAATGAGTGCCGTGACGGAACCCATCAGTGCCACTACAACCAGATCTGTGAGAACATGCGAGGCAGTTACCACTGTGTGTGTCCAAGAGGGTATCGGTCACAGGGAGTTGGAAGACCTTGTATGGGTAAGCTGCCCGGCCATGCTGTCGTCACCTGTTTGTTGCTGATACTTTTGGCTGTAGCATCCAACAGTACTATACTACTTGAAGACTATGGTACAAAGATAAATATGCTTTGGAGTTCAAACTTGCTGTTTAAAATGAAGTGTCCCCATTAAATAGTCAAAACTAGGTGATTCCAAACTGAGATTGCCACATATCCATTCTTTCAAAACAAAGTGTACAAGGGCTGTGGATCTCAAAGGCACTGACGGATGGATGTGGCAAGTCAGTGCTCCATAGTAGGCTTAATTTATAAAAATCAGAGCAGGTTTGTTAGTTGATTAGAGAAATGTGGTTGGCTGTACACTGACTGCATTGATTCACAACTGGAGCCAGTTGAGCAGTGGACAATGTGGAGAACACTCAGAGGAAGTCTGTTGCAAGAGGCATGACATACCCAGAGCCTCCCCCTGCAAATAGACATCACAACACCCTGTCTGACTCCTGGAATTAGGTTTTCTCGTATGGACAGAGCAGAGGAGGCTGACATTCATTTATCTCTCATAGCTCTCTGTCTGACTTGGGTGGATCTCCCAAGGGTAGGAGGGATCCCCACAGGCACAGGAATGCTGACCATGTCACTACTCCCCTACGCTATCTATGTAGAACCCTGGCATTAAAATGTGCAAACCATCCACCCACACAAACACAGTTTCACAGATACTGCCATAACTCTAATGGGAATAGCGGGAGAGTCTGACCTATGATGTCAGTGCAAGTGCACAAAACACTTCCTCTGGCATTTCACAAACCCTAGCACGACTCTAAAAGCATTTCAATTTATAATGTATGTTTCCAGAATATTTAAAATTCAATAGCTGATCCTCACTGATTGTGATGATTTATAAGTGAGATATGTGATGCTTGGTGAAGTCAGCTCCAGTTGGTCTCCCATCTTGTATCAGAGAAACGCTCCTTTGTAATGACTTCTTCAGGATTAGTTTTCATAAGTGATAAATAGCTGGTCTGGAAGCTGGGATTTTTTTCTTTTTAGGTGTCTAAGATTTTGGACCACCAAAAGCCAGGCTTTTTTTAAAGATTAAATTGCAGACAGAAACTGTTTGGCTGCAGACCAAACAGTTGTCTCTACTAAAATAAAAATCAATCCCAACTCTTTAAAGTATATTAAAAGTACTTAAATTTCTTACAGTAATAAGTTGGATAAGGTTTAGGTTACAGGTTTTCACAAAACTCCGACAGCTGTCCTAAAACCTTCTTCTAAGCAATAAACACTGAAAGCTCCCTCTTAAATTAAATTAAATATGATTTTTATGCTCCTTTGATTTATTTCTTTATCTGCTTAAAATATGTTTGAAATATATATGTGAAAATATTAGTTCACGTGTTAATGAAAAGCAGGTTTTATTGTAATGCTTCCAGCACACAGAAAACACAGAGGAGCTGGAAAGTCCCAGACTGAAACAGGTGATTTGCACACAGCTCCTTCTTGTTCCACTTCTGCTGTATGTAGAGTAATTTGTGCAACTGTTCACAGTTGAATGGGGAAAACACATGCAGAGATGCATGTGTGCCCAATTATCCACATTGTGACAGTTCTGTGAACTGTACTGTACCTCAGCATATCATAGATGAAAGGGCATAATCAAAAGCTGTTATGCATACAGGACATGCAGAATTGAAAATCAAATAACATTCATAAAGAAAGCTAGAGAATTTAGCTGTTAGTTTCAAAATCATGTTTAACTTGTTCTTGTAAAGATCTAATATTTATGATGCACGATCAAAGGGATCCTGTCTCAGGAAGCTTTGGCTTACCAATCCATAAGTGATCTCTTTTCACAAGGATGGCAATGCTATGAATTCAGATTGCTGGCTGCATTCAGTTTTGTTGATATTGCATGGGTTGCTCCTACAAAATAAATTGCTCCTTTTTTTTTTTTTCAGCTATTAGTTGTTACCTTATTAAAAATGAAATTTTTTCTTTATGTGACTATTACACCACTGACAATATAACAGATATGTAATGTTCCAGTTATGTGTTTATGATGTTGGACAATACTGCAGTGCTCTGCAGTGGTTACCCCGAATTTCTGATTCTCAAAGCATTTAGTTGTTAATATTAAATATATATATATATATATATAAACACTTAATAAAAATGCATTCTAATATTCTCCTATGTTTCTAAACAGCATTACTTTTAAAATACTGTTAACATGTGGTTTGCAAACAGTGCTCAAAATATGTTCAGAGAGCATATGAAATGATAATGCTAGTTTAACGATGTTTCTACAGCAATAATTTAGACATAGGCAATTTCCAGTAATATGAGATAGTTAAACTGTTACTGAGTCACTGTTAAAATAAGCTTTAAGTTCTAGTTAAAAAAATATATGCTAATTAATAGACATGCTGTTATGTATCTTCATATCGGGTTATTTCTGATCACTGTGGAGTTGCACGTTCCTGCTTTGGTTTTGAGGATTTACTGCTCAGGTTGGTGATGTTATTTTGGATTACAGCATGAGGGAAACTGAACTGAACAGGGACAAGTGATTCCCAAGAGAAAAAGAAATAACTCTGTTTTTGAATGGTATGAAATTCATAAGTACCTTAATACATTCTGCTAAGTCTCCAGACAGCTGGAAGGAGCAGCAGCAACGTGGCAGTTAGCACGCAGCCAGCTGCTCCCTGGGCAGCCCTGCAGTGTGCCCTCCAGCTTTTCCCCAGCAGGACCACAACCCCAGCAGTGCATC